CCAATAGTTAGAGACAGACAAGAATAAAGTAACCTTGCCTCCTGCCATTCATGCTCCGTCACGAGGAAAAGAGGTGTAACTATGAGGGGAAGTTTTTCAACTTACATTCACTGAATGGGTAACGTCCCGGGCCAGGACTCTTACCTTTCTATTTTACTGTGGAGTGCACCATTTATTTAGTGGATACTTAAGTCGGCAAAAACTGTTATAACTGACTGAACCCTTAAGTTTTTTGCTTTTTGGTCCTAACATGCCAGATGAGAGAAAACTCTGCCTATCTGGTGCTTCACTTCCTCTGTCTGTCAGGGGCCCCCCAGTGCTGTCTTGGGCAGTTTGATGAGTGGACTGTTTGATCAGACCTTCATCTCTCCGATTTCAGGGTTCAGGAACTTACACCTGGATGACCAAATGACCCTACTTCAGTATTCGTGGATGTTCCTCATGGCATTCGCCCTGGGATGGAGATCCTACAGACAGTCGAACGCAAACCTGCTCTGTTTCGCTCCTGATCTGGTTATTAATGAGTAAGTCGTTCTCCCTGTTTTCACAGGGTACTTTTACCCAGCTGATGTTTTCCTGATGGACTCCTGTTGTGCACTGTGATCGTTCAGGGACTGAGTCAATCCTACCAGTTGTCTTGGAACTGGGCAAACTTGAAATAGAGTTGTTTACTAATTCTGAAGGCAGGCCAGGTGTAATGCAGAGCATATTACTTGTGGCATCATGACTGTCCCAGGACATACTTGAGGCTGTTTTTTAAGCAGTGAACATCTCTTGGGATCAGTAAAGTCTGCACCAAGTAAAAAGGAACCTTACTGTGGCACTGCCTTCACTACGTAATCCCATTCCAGACGGGAAGCAAAGCGTGACACAATTCACGTCCATCCTGCTCTCAGTAGGACAACTACAGACGAGAGCAGCTGCGCTGAGGGAACAGGAGGCATGGACCCGCAGACAAAGGCTATCCTTTTGCGTGGCAAGGCTCGCTCCATGTTTATGACTAGGAAGGAACATAGGGACAATTTTTTTTTAATCTGGGAGAGAACCAACCAAGCTTTAACGTTTGATACACCAGCTGCCTCTCGTCCTCTAGGCTTGTGCTTCTGAGACCTACTTCAGGTGTTCGCTCCCCCTTACCTCCACTGCATTTGTTTCCCAACTAGCTTTCCACCTCCAGTGTATCCTCCATCATGTTGACTCATTTTATCTTCTTAACACACAGTGTGATCATATAATGTGTGTCCCTGACACAGATGTCTTCACTGACCACTCAGTGCACACTCAGCATGGTTTCTGGCTTTCCAGAATCTGGCCTCCACTTTCTCTCTCATCATCCTCTTTCACATCCTCGTTTTTCCCACTCAGATCATCTATCCTTCAAACATACCCCTAGCTCACGATGTTCACATCATCCTGTAGAACCTCTCTGCTTTATCTGCCTTGCTCTTACCACTGTCTGCCTTGCATTACTACTTCTTTGTGTTCACAGCTAATCCTCCTTAATTAGAATGCAAGCACAGAATTCACACATGCTCACACACACACACACGGTCTGGGCAGAATTAAAAAATGAAAGATTTCTGTTTTTAATTGTGAGCTGCAGGTGCTCTTGACTAAGATCCAAAAAAAAAAAAATTGACATCTTAAGCCACATTGACAGTCCGCAGAATAACAGTCTCATTATACTCTGAGTTACTGCATCACTAGTAAGTAGTGTGTGTTCAGAACTGAATACCGTGTTCAAGGTAACAGTGACAACTTTAAGGATGTCCACAGCGGCAAGGAGTTTGGAAATCAGCATCAACTGAGGAACAGAGGATGTATGGAGGAAAGAGAAAAGGCTGCTTAGCAACAGTGAGGACAGCCTAAGACGCTATCCGAGGAAGATAAAACACATATTGCTTTCTCTGTTAGGTATGCCACTCACAAAAAATAATGGGCAGAGGTTATAGAAAAGCATCTATTTGAGCTAAGTGTTCAATGGGAGGGCTTGCTTTATGATGTGGTTAGCCCAAATTATCATATGTGTTTTCAGAGACCAGATGATACTAGCTCCAGGTATTTTAAAAGAAGCTGAACTATTCAGTTCAACTTAATGTTGTTTTTCTATTGGTGATCCCGACTTTTCAGCACGGTACAGGACTTACCAAGTGCCAGATGGTCTTTTAAGAGCTTGAGCTATAAAACTCAGGAAAATCATAAATGACCAAAATTGTGTCAGAGAGCCATGATATGATCGGGGAGAACGAAGGTGAGAGGGTGTGTGCTGCTTTGGATCAGGGCGCCATAGAAGACCTCTCTCTAAAGAGCAAGCTGGAGGAAAAGCAGGGCACTTCAGGCAGAAGAGATGTGTGCTCAGCCAGGAGAGATGAGTCACAGAGGCTGCAAACAACCTTGGCACGCATAGACATCGAGAGCAAGCCACTAAGGCTATTGTGTGAGTGGAGAGAAGTGGATGGGGCCAAGTCAGGCAGAATCTTGTAGGCCATGACATGGAGTCTGGATTTTATTCTAGCATCAAGAAGCCAGTTTGGGAGGAGGGGGGACAGACGACAACATGATGGAAAATGGATTAGAGGAGGAAAACACTTCCCACTCTCGTCCTCTGTGCACAGCGCGTCATTAGTTGAGAACAAGCCCAACCGACTCCTCACCTTCACTGCGTACATACGCGAGGCGGGCAGGCACGCGCCACCACCAAATAAGTCATTTTCACATTGTGATGAGAGTTTTTACTAGAGATAGGGTCGCCAATGGCTGCCTGGAGGAGATGTCATCTGAGTTGAGGAAGAACTGAAGACCAGACTTCATAGCGAGAAGCAGCATGACAAGAGGAATGTCAAGCATACGATGTCATCCAACTCTATTCCAGGGGACATCTCTCCCGGCCCTCAGTTAGCAGGCACCTCCATGTGGTTGGCCAGACCACACCTCCCACAGATATACTCTTAGAGATCTCCTTCAGAGACAGAACTCACCTGTCTATTGCCAAAAAAAAGAACTGCTCAAACCACTGCACCGCAATTTAACAACATACCAGCTGTTTGATCAAATTTAACTGATAGATGTATACAGCTGATATGTAAACTCAAAGACATTTGACATCTCTCAGTCCTTGCTGCTCATTTCCAACTCCATCCATGCTTCAAAACCTGAAAACATCATCGACAATATTTACTATTTACTGTCACTTTCTAAAAAGCCATTTGAAATCATTTCATGGGATTAAAACTACAAGCAGAGATTTATATGAAACACTAACATATTTCTGTGTTATAAAGTGAATCTAATTTAGAGTTTTGATTTTGGGACCAGTCATTGAGACAGTTATACCATAGCCTGGTATTTCTTACACAGGAGGAATTACAGAAATTTTTTTCTCAGTGTTCAACTTCATTGTAGGATAGAAAGCTTACAAAAACAGTAGTTTTTAAGAGGGCACTCTTATTTCCCATGCTTGTATCTATCTTCATGCTGCTCAAATAATCTTTTCTTTTTTTCCGTTAAGTCCGAGATCACTGTCTGTCAGAAACTCCAAAATAAACACGAACACAAAAACCAGGTCTTAACAAACAGTGAACAAGGCACAGTTTGGGGCTCTTAGTGTTATTTAAAAAGTTACAGAACTTTAGAGATCTACATGATAGTAACTATTGAACATTACTTGGTACCTTTCATTAGAAAAATATTCAGTCACAGGCTGATTTGGGGTACCGGAAGGCCTAGTCATGTTCTAATTCTCACCCTCCGCATAACTCACAGTATCACACCTAAGTTGTCTTTATAATGGAATGCTGTGCGGAAAAAATACCTTGATTTTCAGATAGGTAGGATTTAAAACTGTATTGTCTAATTAGCCAGATTCAAATGCTACCATACAACCTTGATTTAAATGAGCAACTAGCAATAAATTCTCTAGGAGTAAATTCTAAACACTTAAATACAACAAATATATGACAATCATTTCCCCACTATGTTCAGCAAAGGTTTTCAAAACTCTGACCCATAAGGAATGAGCATTAAATAGCAACAGTAAGATGACTTCATAGCTTCGCAAAAAAAAAAAAACAAAGTTTTGTTTTTTTGTTTTTAACAGGGACAAAAAATATTTCTTTCTAACTCTAACGTTGATCATTTGTTTTTCACAGGCAGAGAATGGCTTTACCCTGCATGTATGACCAATGTAAACATATGCTGTATGTTTCCTCTGAGTTACACAGGCTTCAGGTATCTTACGAAGAGTACCTCTGTATGAAAACCTTACTGCTTCTCTCTTCAGGTTGGTAGAACACCTCTTCGCTTCTAAATACATCCAAAGCGTGAACTACCAGCGTCTAGAAACAAAGGTGTATTGGTATACAAAGCACTCAAAATTACACCAAGTCTACTACTACTTCCTGCTAGTCAGACACTGTGGATTTTCAACAATGTAAGATTTTAGAAAGGCACAGCCAGTGATACTAAGATTAATGAGAAATGAACAGGCATCTGAACCGCTGGGTGGGGATAGGGGAGGTCTCTGCTGATCTAGAATGCCTACGGACTTCCTCCTCCTTTCCTGTGACCTTTGGCAATACCACTGTAGACGACATGGGAAAAGCAAGCCAACTAGGATGGCTTACGTTTCCCTACTTACTACACTGTCACTAGGTCAGAATTTTTCATGATGCGATGAATGCTACCATGTATAAGACATGGTGGGAGAAAAAGATACGACCTACAGAAGGGGTGCTTGATGACTGGTAGACGATTGCTTCCTGCGGCACTGCAGCTGGACTGTTAGAGGTAATCTGTTTAGAAAAGAACAACAAGGGTTTAGAAAACAATCTTGAAAATTTATGTAAACTTATTGGTATATGACGTTTACTGAGACTAGTTTCAGCCAGCAAAGACATACTACGAGGCTACTGAAAACTATCTGCTCTGTATTAGTCAAAATGCGGCAGGTTCAACAACTAATAAAAGAAGGTCTGTGAACAAGTTGGTATTATAAACTTTAGGCCACTCCAGTAAAAATGATCAGGTTAGTGTTTATACAATACTGGAGTCGATGGCTGAATACCTCTTTCATATACAAGTAAGTACCTTTGCCATTTAAAGGAAAAAAACCTTCCTTCCGTTAGTAACTGTGGTTTCAAAGTACCTAAGTAACTTGGAGCCTTGGATGTTGCCCATGACTTTATCTACTGAAGCTTTTCCAAAGCACACATCCATCTTAATGCTCTCTTACTATCTTTGCTCTCCAAATGGAATTAAAGAGTATTAATAATATTTCAACCAAAGCAAGAGAATTTTCCACAACCGATTAAAAAACCTAATTTTTTTAAGGTTATCAGCAGAAGTACTCTTGTTAAAGAAGTGAGCTTGATTTTATTCAAGGGAGTAAACAGTTCAAGTTCTGACCATGAATCGTGATTTTGATGGGTAACATCCAGGTATAGGTCAATACCTACATACTATTGGTAAAAAAAAAAAAAAATTACGGTTTAAGGTTTATACATTCCAGGCTCACTGAGCTGCGTGTTTTTTTCATTCTAGATAGGAAAAAGTAATTTGAAGGCGTATTTGTCATTGGTTCCTTTAAAGAAAAAATACAATCACAAGGATGGTAATACATACCTAAAACCAGGTATAATATGAATTCCACTCTGACATAACACTGACATAGGTATCCTAACCTCCCACTAAAAAATACTGAACTGAAAAAACTACAGACCAAGTATAGGCAAGTACTACCCCAAAGAGGCCAACTGCACTCCGAAGCTGCCTCTCTCAGACGGTATCTGCAAAGCCTGGTGGATCAATGTACTTAGCTAGTTTAAAGACAGGTGACATTGAAAAGAAATGGATCATGTATCTAAAGGCAGATTAGAAGATGGACTTGAAGACATTGAAAGTCAAATATATATCTGCAGAAATTAACCAGAATACTTTTTAAGGTGCCTATGTGTGTACCTGTATTCATACTGATATACGGATGTGTACTATGTATTCATGTAAATGAACAAGGGCAAGAGGCATGATTGAGGAAGGACTAAAACACTGCTTCACAACTCTTTTCATGTCACAATTAACATAAAAACAGTATTCATACATAGCCCAATGAGGTGAATGAGTGAGGCCACTTGCAGCGAGCAAAGCAGACCGTTATCTAAACACATTGGCAACCTTTTCATAGTACATCCGTTGAAAAAAGGTCTAGCCTAATAATAATCATCAAATATCCAAAACCAAAGGTAAAAAAAATTACACAAAGAGATGGAAACCTTCCAGAACAGCAGCAGTTCAAGAAAAAGGAATTTTTTTTTTAAGCTAAGGAAGCAAAGTGAAAAATGAGGGTGGATTTCCAGTTTCAGTTCTGACAAGTAAACACCTTGGAAGTTTCACTCCCATCCTCACAGTAAGAAAACGTTGAGCAAACAAAATCAATGACTTTTCTAAGATCATCAGAGAAGTGAGGTCACAGAGCAAAAAATGTGAAGAATACAGGCAAATATAGAGAAACACAGCCAAGATCAGCTTTCTGGGAACAGAAACTACTGGAGCCAGTAAGGTAGCAATAGTTGTGGTAATTTTGGTGAATCATTGGCGACCAAGTGAACAATAGCTGATGTGTTAAAAACTTCTTAGTGAGGTTGTTACCCACACTTTCTGGGTTTCTCTCCAGAAGCTCCACCAGGTTCTCATGGTGAAGCTCAGACAAAGACCCCATCACGTTTCTGTCCTCTAAGGGAAACTGCTGTGATAAAGCTTTATCCAACCTGGGGGGAAAAGCAAGTCAGTCATTCCAGCTCCCTCTACCTTCCTATCTCAAACAGGGAGGGGAGGGAAAAGGTTCAGTAACACCTCTGACGGTCACAGCCCAGGGACTCGGGCCTACTTAAAAAAAACCTGACGTTTACCCATAAAGGTATAAAACATTCCACATCCCCATCACCTTACCGCCATATTAACAGAGCTCCAGGATAATTCAGGGTTACAACTGAGAGAGCTATAGGACACAGCGATTTAAAGAGCTCTTAGGGAAACCCAAGGACAGCACGGAAGAAAGTAGAACAGAAACAATGAAACCAGAGGAAACGGAAGCCTCTTCACACCTACAGCTGCAGCCAACGTTAAACACAGCCCAGATCCTAGCCACATTAAAAGCCTAATTACCTCAGCTCTTATATGTCATATCCAGCTTTGAGCACAAAATTAAAAATAATGTGTGGAGACACAAGCAACAAAACCCAACTCAGACGTGACCCTGGTGCTGTAATGATCAGAGACGGAGTGTAAAGTAACTACCATTAGTATGTTCAGGGCTCTAAGGAAAAGTAAAAAACATACAGCAACATACGGGTATTGTAAGCAGAGAGGTACAAACTCCAAGAATCCAAAGGAAATCCTAGAAATTAAAAATACTGTAATGGAAACATAATGCTGGGCTCGTCAGTAGATTGGGCATAGCCAAGGACAGAATCATTGAGCTGGAACATAC